AGTAAATTTAATTGAACAATTAATAAATTAAATATTAATTTTTAATTTTTAATATAAATTTATAATAAAAATACATATTTAATATATTTTTTAACTTATATCATGATAACACAAGTTAGGGGAATCCAAAATAAAACAATCTAAGATAAGAGGATTATCAATGTCCTCCACGGCGGTATCTCTCCTTGCTCCGTCAGAGCTGCTGCCAAGGCAATTTCATCGATCTTGGAGGTAATCCGGTGAATGCAAGTCTCCCGGTTTCTTAAACGCGGCCGCAGCTGCTCACATGAGCTGCTGACCGGAGTTCCCGGATGGAAATTCTCGTTTCTCGGAGAGGAGCAAGAAACGGGAATAACTGGAGTCACATATAATTAAAATAAGGTTATTATATTTTTTTTTTTTTGGGAAAATAGGCAATGAAGTTATTATAATTAAATCACAAAAATGTTGTGAAATGTCACCTGATCTTAAGTTATATGGAGAGTAATAGAAAAAGAGTACCGCATTAGAAAATGTTGCTCATTTTTAACATTAATTTTGTGTTAAAAATATAAAAGTCAGATCTTGATTTTTTTTTTTTATTATTGATGAATTACAATTGCCTAGGTGGTATTGGTTCATAAAGTCAAGGTCAGATATTGATTTTCTCCTTGATCAATTAAAAAGGTTCCTTACCTTACCCAGGAACAGCAGAGAAAAACCTATATCTAAATAATTGGATAAATTTGAGCTGGGGTTACTCAACTTTTGGCGTTCTTAACAATTTGGGCACTCCCCCTTCAAACTTGATGCCCAAAGCGATATCACCACCAAATACTACCAGTCTTGGTGTAGGGTTTATACATAACAAAATTTTAAATTATACCCTATTCCTTCCAGAATAATATATATTTTTTAATTTAAAATTTATTTTAAAATAATAATTATTTTTTATTTAAAAAAATAAATACTATATTTTTTTTTATTTCAAGCTTATAATTATCCTTTAATTTGAATTATTTATATTAAAATAATTTATTATTTTTAAAAAATAACTTTTTATTTTTATTTATTTTTTAAAAGTAAAATAGATAAAAATAAAAATTACTTTTAACTCCTTAATTTAAAAATAAAGTAGAAAACATTTATTATTCTAAAATGAAATGAGTATAAACTTGCTTTGAGGTTGGGTTAATCAAGTTTTGAACTTATGACTTGTCTATTGGATTGCAATGTACATATAACTGAGTTCCGAGAAAATTTATAGTTTACCTCTATTGTATTAACATAAATAACATGTTACAGACACATCTTTCAAACATATAGGTTTATCATTAATACTTTCCTCCATTAGAAATTTCGAACCTTTACAACAAAAGTGTCTAACATGTGCTGCGAACGCTCTCACAGTCACATGATGACTGTTATTGTGGATTACCATATCAGCTCTCTTCATGATTCAAATATTCTTTTGTGCTCCTGCCACAAACAATATTTTGAAATCATACATGAAGACAAAAACAATCTGCCCTGATTGCTCTTCATGTTCCTTCAAGAGGTTTCTTCATCACCAACTATGTAACGGCTTTTAGTGGTACGCAAGCCAGATGAATGAAGCTACTTTCTCCTCTTCACAAGCTGTAATGCCGTTTTTCTACAATCTTGAGCCTCCATGGAATCAGGCTTCAAGTCAAGGGTACTTAAAATATTAAAGTAGAAAATATATATATATTGAAAAGCACCGACTAAGCTTCAGACTTTTTGAGCACTCAGAAGGTACTTTTTCCTTACTATGGCTTAAGTTGCATTGAGACATTAACTATAACAAAATCTCAAACAAAGTATCAAACAATTCAGATAGTCTGCTTAATTTTCTAAAACACAAACTGTTTCAAGATGTTTCAGCTTCTGATTTAAACCATTATTAATTTCTCTTACCCCAAAGAAAATATACTTCTTTCAAAATTATCTATTGCAACTTACCATTCCTGGTGATTTAATTTCCTACCACTGCACCCATAATTCAATTACTCAGCCAGTGGAACAGGGCAGTAACTCACCCCAAAATAAGAAAGGGCAGAGTTTCAAGAATATAACCATTAAAGGAAAAGGAACAGCAGCAAAACTGTTGGGGAATTTAAAAATGACAACCTTTCAATATGTACCTTGACTGCCAATGCTCTTATCAAAACTTTCAATGGCACCATCAGGTTCCCCAAAGTTTAACTGTGCTCTACCAAGGGTGACCCAAGCCTGAGAGAAACCACTCTCATAAGATAAAATAACAATTTGACATAAAACACAACAATAAAAATCTATTTTGCACAGATAAAGGATGGCCAAATCTTTCTTATAAACCAGCATGTAAAAAAAGAAAGAGAGAAAGAAACGTAAGCAATATAAACCAGAAACAAATGATGAACAATTAGATTATAACCCTAAGAAGAGCATGCTATGTTAACTGGAGCCTTAAAAGGCATAAACATACCACCACAATAAGTTAAAGGTAAGTTACAGGAACAAATATATAGTCACTTTGAACAATTCATTTAATTTAGTACCATTATTGTTTGCTGCTCTAAGAACATTGAACAGACAAACACTAAAAGGTAATTTTCAAGATTTGTCTTAGCATAGATTCCTGCCATGGATTAGTAAGAGGAAAACCCAAATTACACTTATAAAGTGCAACCTTGAGCACAATAGATGCTTATCCGTAGTAACGTCAAAGGAACTTGATCTGAATATATGCTTCTAGCTCTTATGGAAGTTGGAAAAATGAATTCAAAACTGAAGCTAAAAGCCACTTTTATTCGTAACCAGAATTTTAATACAATGCTCTCATAGACCCTATGCTCACTAGCATGCCAGCAACAATAAGAAAGAATCCCATATAAATACAGAATTTCATTCGTAACCTAAAGGAAAGAGCTACCCGCAACTCCCAAGTCCCAACAAAGGCCAGCTTTTATGAAATTAAAATGAGTTTTCTGAAACATAGGTGAGTCTAACCCTAAGTCACGTGAATGAATTCAATTTCAGCAGTTATGCACTTCAACTTAAAATGTCAACCAGCAAAATGTTTATTGAACAGATTCATAAAGAGAGATTTGACATGTTTAAAAAGGGACGAATTGACATCACATATGTAGAGAGGAATGATAATATGATATAGCCAGTGCTAACATTGCATTCATGATGTACATTGTTTACATACCTCGGTCCATGAAGGTTCCAAATCAGTTGCCCCTGGCAAGAAGAACCCAAAAGTAAATATACTAAGTCCTCTTGAAAATTATACATTTATACTATGAAAAGGAGAAGTAAGGAAGAACTGAGACAGACGAGTTGCTGCCTTCAATGCACTCCATCATCAACATCTTCAAGTAGAACTTGGGCCTTCTATTCGTGAAGAACTGCATTTTCAGGTGCCAAATCAAGAGCTGCGTCCCACTTCCCAATTGCATCCCGGTATTTCCCATCCTTCAAAAGTAAAAAATATGCAATTAAAACAAAATAGAATTTGAGACAGAGAGCATTAACAAGCATTTAAACCTTCAATTAATTAACTTCATGAATACCCATTTCGAAATTCAATTAAGTTCTATGCATTTCACCGCTAAAACCTAGATTCTAGAAACAAAAAGTATAGATTTTGAAAAGGAAATCAGAAAGGAAAATAAACGCACCTGGGCGAGCCTGTTGCCTTGGGCTTGAAACGACTGAGCAAGCTGTTTTGTGTCTGCGTCCAAAGAGTCGCCGGAGAGTTGCTCTTGAATTTGAGAAGCCGCTTTAACGTTACCGTCTTCTTTCAGCCGGTTTGTATCAGCTTCGTGTTGGGTTTCCTGCTCCAAAGGAAGGTTTGGGTATTGCAATATTGCTTCCGACGACCGCTTCTTGCTGTTCTTGTCCTTGTTCAATGTTAGCTTCACCTTTCTTCTACCTCCGTTTTACCCAGAAGTAGATTTAGAAGCCAAAAAGGAGGATTTTCTCGTTCGAACCTTTCTTGGGTCTCTGAATATGGCTTCTTAGGTAGTTATGTTATGGGCTGGCCAACATTAAGTATCTGTAATGAGGTCCAATAATTGGCCCAAATATTGGGCTATACTTGTTTGCAAGCATTTGCTGGGCTAAAATGCTAGTTGGCCTTTTCTTAGCAAATCAGGACACTAATTTTACCACTTTTCTTAATCAACAGCAGTAACTTCCAATTTCCAAATGAAAATTCTCGATTCAATTATTTAAGTCAAGTTGAAGGTTCAACTTTTTTTTTTTTTTTTTTTTCATCCCAAAATTTCTCCAATAGATCATATTGCATCATATTGCTAAAAGTGTATTTGTAACCTTTACACAACGGGTTCAAACTTCATTAAGAAAAAGGGGCAAAAGCAATTGGATAGAGAGCTACGTTTAACACGTTCAAAATTTTTCATATATTTCTTTTTAAGATTGTTTAACTTGTATTCTAAGAACACGAGCTAATAGTTTAATAAATATATTTTTTTATAATTAATTTATATAAAAAATTATAAATATTGACTTTAAATTAATCAACTAACCAATTAAAATTCGTGATCTTGACCTTACGTGTTTGAATATATGTATAAATGTATATATACATATATATATATATATATATATGAAAATAGATTAAAAAATATGGGATAACTTTTCTTTTTTTTCAAATGCTTCTCTACCTATCTCATGATTTGAGTTTAAGATTTTTAATATAAAAACTTAAGTTTTTAACTACTAAAACGTTCACTTAAAAATCATGTTTATAAAATGGCACATGAGTCACCTCTATGTCAAAGATTATAATAAATAAATTTAAGTATTTACTTGTTATATCAAATATTTATAAGTCACTAGAGTTGTATATTCTCAGCATTTTTCATACTACATTTGCCTTTTAACAAAAGAAGTATTCAAGTACATACCAAGGACAATATATTGAAAATTAGGAAGAGAAACCTATGGACAAGAATGTGATCTCTTCCATCCCCCATTGTTTCTCTTGGCTTTATGATTGGCACTAACTTAGATCGGTATCAACCAATCACCAAGAAACTTTTGTTTATGGTACAGAGTTATGCGACAACTTCTTTCATCTCCATTCTTTCTTCTGGATGAATCATTATTCCTCAAACAGAGTAAGCATCTCCCATTGTGAATTGCAAATTGTACTTGGTTTGGTAAGTGTTGTAAACAATACTCAAGCCAATCAGATTTATCAGATGTTTCACCAAGCAAGTACTTTGCCTCTTCAACATCCAATGCATCATTAACCCAAGGATGCTTTGTCATCCTTCTCAATCCTTCTAATTCCATAGCCACTTCCTTCATTGTAGGCCTTTCCTCCCCTTTGATACTCAAGCATATCTTTGCCAGGTTAGCTACCTTACTAAGTTGCTCAATATTTGCTTCATTCACTATACAACCATCAAGAATTTTTTGTAAGCAATTATCTTTCATTGCAAAAAGAAAATACATGGAAAGATTTCTCTCTTCCTTTATCCTGTTAAAGGAAAGTACCTTTTCTCTAGTCAAAAGCTTGAGAAAGATGACTCCAAAGCTATAAACATCACTTTTCTCAGTTAATTAGCTTGTATGCAAGTACTCAAGGTCCAAGTATCCAATGGTTCCTTGAACAACTATAGATAATGTAGCTTGGTCTTTTGGAATTAACCTCAAAGTACCAAAATCAAATACTTTTGCTATGTAGCTACTATCTAAGAGTATGTTTGTAGACTCTATATCTCTATGAATGATTGGTGTAGAGGCTACAAAGTGCAAATATGATAACACTTCTTCAGTTTCTACTGCTATCCTTAAACGAATTTCCTAGCTCAATAATGAAGCCTTACTTTTATTGTGGTTGTGATGGTGGAGAGTACCATTGGTAATGAATTCATAAACTAGGAATGGAACTTCTATCTCTAAGCAACAACCTAACAACTTCACCACATTTCTATGGTTGATTTGTGAAAGAACAACCACTTCATTTATGAATTGCTCATTTTGATTTTGATTTTGATCAATGATATGGGACTTCTTGATTGCAACAATTCTCCCATCTATTAGACAGAGTTCCTTTGTAAACTGTCCCATAACCTCCTTGACCAAGAATTCTACTTTCATCAAAGTTGTTTGTGGCCTTCTCAAGTTCTTCAACTGTAAAAATTTTAGCTGTTTATGCATATCCTTTTGAGTTGGATAGTAGTTGTTGCAATTCCAAACCTCCATTTTGCATGAAGAACTTTTGTTTAAGTTTGATGAGCTTCCATTTATTATATCCCTGGGACAACCAAGTGCCACTTACTAGCAATACTGCAAGGTCTACCCCAATCCCGACATTAAGTCAAAGAAGTAAGAATGATCATGAGAGTCACAAGACATGTTTTCCAACACAACCTTGTCCACCTTTTTTTCCATCACCATTGGGGCACAAACATTTATAACTTCCTACTGTGTTGACATAGAACTTTTCACAATCATTGTGTTTAGGTTCTGTACATTCATCTATGTCTGCCAAAGAGTGGAACCCATCAGAACAAGAACTACACTTTTGACTAAAAACTTAATGAATTATGAATTTATATGAAACACATGTAGCATGAATATAAATTTGAACATAATCCAAAAAAATGGATGCAAAGGAATATGAATAAATGGGTTACCTTGGCAACCATTAGGTAGGAATGGATTTCCATTAAAACCCTTTAAGCACTTGCATCGATATCCATAACCATTGTCAACAGGAATGCAAGGGCTGTTTCCCTGGCATGCATTGGCTTTTGTAGTTTCACATGTATGGTTGACATCTCAAATTGACCAATCAAGCACCACAGGGAGTTCACTTACATTTTGTAAATCACGAAGATAATTTGAAGAAAAGTTGAACTCACTTTCTTCCACAATGAAGCCATAGCTGCAAGGGTTGAACTTCCAAACTCTTGTATGATTTTTTTACTGGTCACTATTACACTGATGTAGTTGTTCCTTTGGCAATGGATGTTTGGCAACAGCCAATACCAGAACATGTGTAATTTGTTACATAGTCAATGCTGTCACATTCGGTTATGCAACCTGCAATGTAGCCTTTATTCCGTTTGATACCTTAGACACATTCTACATATATCACAGCCAATAGCAACAAACTTGTTATTAGCATCAGAGATAGTATAACTATATAAATTTACATGGAGCCAAGGATTATTGCTGTAAGTTGGTTCACCAGACTTATTATAGAAATTATGGGCTATAAATTTCATTATGTGCAGCTTCCCTTCACGATCTATGTTGGTGACATTGATTGTACTATTAGCTAGAAATGCTAATGGGGGATTGAAAGTGTCATTGCAAATTATGAGAAAATTGTCATTGTAGTAACATCCTTCTGTTGAACCAAATGGATATGGGATACTTACATTACCTCACTTGTCTGGACAACCAGGTTTTGCAATAGGAGCTGATTCTGCTGCAATTGCCGCTAATGGTGCTGCAATAAGGATGACCAGCCAAAACCTTTCATGAATCCCCATGGTTGCTGCTTCCTGCTTTCTTTAGATCGAGCTTCCTCAAAAATCCATATTCAAGTTCATAGAGCAAAGAACTTCAGAACGTTGGTTCTTTTATTCGTAGACTTGTGAAAGACAAATTCAATATTGGGTCTCAATATGAAAGTATTCTATTAATGTCTTGGTGTGGCATGCCTCTAAAGCAACTATATATAAACTTCTGTTGAAAACTCTAATTCTAAACCGTGCTCCATATTTGTAAGTAGGTCGACCTACCATGTAATACTTGACTAATGGGAAAAACCTTTTCTGCAGACCACATCAATGTATATGCGGATGCATTATGAGTTCATGACTCAGCCAGACTTCTATCAGATACTAAAATAGCACCCACCATTAGCTAATAGACAGAAGAACATCTTGATATTCAAATTTTCAATTGGGAAAAAAGTCAACTGTTGATTATTGCTTTTTAAAAACACAGAAGTGCTTACTTCTGAACTAGTGGGTTTATGAAAATTAGAAATGTTCAACTGTATCTTAGAGCTTACATTTGAACAGTTGAACAGTGATGCAATGCAATAACGTAAATGTTAAGTTTATTTACTGAAAGGATTACTGATGGGTTTATGAAAATTAGAAATGTTCAACTGTCTCTTAGAGCTTACATTTGAACAGTGATGCAATGCAATAACGTAAATGTTAAGTTTATTTGCTGAAAGGATTACTGAACCTGATGTGCAGCTTTGTTCAAAGTACCACTACCAACCAAGCTGACAGGTGATGAGCTCAGTGAGCATACTCCCAGACCCAGTCCCAGCTAAAGTGGGTGAGGAATTCCGTTCTCCTGGAGACCAAGTCCTCCAAATGTGTGGTATCTTATTTTGACCATCTGTCTCCCAAAAGAAAAATATGGTACGAAGGCAATTGGTTCCTCCGAAGTGTTAACATAAAACCCACAGAGACAAAATCAAACACAGTGATCAAAGCATTCCCAAAGTCAAAAACAAATTCATAATCCAATCTTTATTTGTCTATTTATTTTTTATCTTGAATTACAAAACTAACAAACAATTGTCTTTCATCTGTCTGCACATCTTTGGTACGCTATGGTACTCAGAACTCAAAATATTTTATTTTAGTGAAAAAAAATACTCAAATTATAAAAATAATTCAAATTAGTTAAGAACTAGTTTTCCCTGCATTGTAAGCGGGAGGGCAGTTTCTTCATCCCACATGGAAACAATATTACAAACCAAAAGACAATTAAAATATAATTGATATTTACAGATACAAATCAATATATTTGATTTTTTGAACCTAATTATAAATCCGAAGGAAAAAATAAAAATTTTAAAGAATAAAAAAAATGCCATTATCAAACAATATTATGATGTTCAGTTCAAAATTAATACAGACTCCATTTTTTAGATAAAAATAAAAGAGCTTTTGTAATATGTACTTTTAATACATAGATTAAAAAT